CAGGCAAGTCAGTCAACAGACAACAGAATAGCACCGGTGATGATGATAACATGGGAATTCACATCTCACTGTTGTTAACTAATTAATACGGGAAATACGAATTATGTATATGAATGGCAGAATAGCTGGTGGAATATCGAAAACTCAACACAACTTATTTAATTAAAAACGCACGCTTCTTTCCGTCAACTAAGAATTTCACATCGCCAAAAATGTGATGATGAATTTTCAAAAGGGCTTTCCTTTAGCTGAGGTTACCAAAAAATATGTTTCCCAGCAAACAATGTGGAATGGTGGAAACTGAGTTTGGTAAAGTGTGAGGGTGTTCATCGGGAACAAAATTGGGTCTTGATGTTATTATCGTTATCAGTCAAAATAATATTTACAGATGCTTGAAAATTTAAGGAACGCGAATTCTTCGGTTTCAAATTGTTAACTATGTCTAAAGATGGAAGGATGATTACACAATGGATTCATCCATGCATCCAAGAGACTGTAAAACCACATATTGAAATCGTATTGGACCAGGACAACGCTAGGCCACACACATCTTGGTTGGGAAGTTTTAATGCATCCGGCATACAGTCCGGACTTGCACCAAGCGATTATCATATTTTTCTTGCATTGCAAAATTTCGTAAATTATAAAAATTGGTACCTAGGGAGGATTGTGAAAATCAACTGCTTGAATTTTTTGCACATAAAGAGCAGGACTTCTATGAGAGAGGCATTATGAAGTCACATTTAAAATGACAACAAATCATACAACAAAAAGGGGCATATTTTGCATAAATCGGACATTCCGAAGCATTTTAAATAAAGTCGTATAGTTCATTTAATAATAATGTATTTCTGTTTCCCCAACCTAAAAAAAATGAACATTTTGATTATTTATAGGGGAGGTACCAGAAGGAGTGGTTCTTGATAGTCCATTCGCATGATATTATAACATTATTTCCCCACCTTCGAACTTAAACTAAGTTTTGTAAAAATATTACGATGTGCTAATGGATACATGGTCCATCGAAAGACTGAAAAGTAACATATTGGAAACTTCTTGAATTTAAAAATATATAACATCCCATTTTAGTTCCGCGATCAGAGTAAACTCTTCTCATTTTTGTCATAAATTTAACGAAAATCTTATATCGTATTCTTATTGAATGTATACGGATTTACAACAGGTATGGGAAGTTCAAAAGTCGGACAGGGCCGAAATCTAATAAAATTATTTATAAGATCGATTTTAAGGAAAGCGTCTTGTCGAAAATAAATCCGGAAAATGTATACGGGAGCTATATCTATATCGGTTACATCAATGGGTGCTATATCTAAATCTGAACAAAATTTATCACACTGGTTTAAATGCAATTTAAAACACTGCCTTGTTGGCTAATAAAGTCACCCCACTATGGACCAGGAAATTTAGGAGGAAAACATAATTATATATTTCAAACCGATTTCAACCAAAATGTAAACACACACAAAGGTATTGTGGCTGTTCGACTGACACGTCATTTTATACAGCTTTCTGGATCGACTTTAGGCTACAGCCTTGTGATCATAATAGTAACTGTTTATCTTTGTTTAAATTGAAAAAGATTCTGTTTATAATTTTCTGTTTAAGAATATATATGTCAAGATGACATTAAATCAGTTTATATACAATTATGGATTCCTTTATAATATTGCTGGATTCCATGTAAAAGTGTACCGGACACCCTACCTTTTGCCTAATGATTTTCAAATAACATATATATAATCCAAAAAATTTAATAAACTTAAATTATTTAACTAGATCGTAGCAAACCCTAGCATTTAATTTTCGCGAATTCAGATGTTACCATTTTGCGGGGAATTCCATAAAACAGAACAACACACCAACTCACTTAGCTTCGCCACAAAACTAACATTTATGCTTCTTAAAATTACCGCCTGAAATTTGCGCTCGAACAATTCAATGTAGCTTTGGTTAAATCTTGGCCAGTATTATTAATTATGGGGTAGCAATGCGGTCTGCCTCGGTCATGTATCACAGTTCTGGAATGATAATAACAACAGACCAGAAACGCAAAACATCGAGGCTAAGGCGAAATGTGAAAAGTTATTTTGTAGAGAGTGTGTAACAAAAGTATCAGGCGATCAATAGGGAGGGGCCTTTTCGGAGGAGAAGATGTTATTTTGAAGTTTGGAAAAAAGACACAATATTTTTAAAATGCTATGTGAACAATGTAAAAAAATCCTTTCGGAGAGCATATTTTATTTATTTATTAATTTTTACCATTATATTGGCATAGATTGACAATATATTTTAGCTGGTTTTAAATAAAGCTTAAATCATTAGAAAACCATGTGACTCAAACAGGCATCATAAAAAAACTTTAACCCCAGGTAAGGTTATTTTCTTATTTCAAATCCCTCTTTGGTTTAAAATAAGTTAACTGATAATACACTCAATTTCACATAAATATTTCGAAATATATATTGCCATTCCACTCGATTTTATTAAAAGGGCCCCTTCCGCTATTTGTTTACCGCCCTTCGCCAGGCTCCCAATTATACGTTGCTTCCATTTTGTGCATTATTTGGCACTGGCACTTTTCAACTAATTGTGGGAATTACGTTTGGGATTGGTATAAAGCACTTGACTCTTATGGCTGGGCAAGCCACAACATAAATGTTCACAACTTCCAAGAATCCATTTAAATTTGAATTTGTTATGTTATAATAATTAAATGTATCTGAGTGTCTGGCTGGCTGGTTGGATGGATGGTTCGCTGGTCTAAAGCATTCAATGGCATCCGAATATTATATTGTGCGAAAAAGAAGTAGAAGGTTGACTTGAATATCTATTTTAGAATAATTGTAAAATTCCTAGTATATAATTGCCATGCCAAGGTTGTATGTTGAATGTATAGAGGAAATTTAAAAAGAAGCAAGGCTATGATGAATTGTCACCATGAGGTAGACATTCAAAATACCTAAAATTGATTTGGATTTTTATATGGAAGCTACCACCAAGAACACCGAATTTCACATAACAGCCACTTTGTAACGCCAAAAAATAATCAGAGATCCTATTTTGCCAATTTTAGAACAGTTGTTTTATGAAATAAATAAATAAATATCACGTATAAGCGTTTAGAGGGCGCGGATTACGATTCTGTAAGAAAATTGAGGTCCAATGCGTTTAAAGTTGAATTAGTCAAATAATTTTTGAACACAGTTTGTAGAGCTATGGTCACTAATTACAAAAAATAATTATCGGGAAATTCCAAAAAATTATGACGGAGGGGCTAAAGATAGAAGACACGTGTATTGGCATTTTGAAAGTTCACGTCAGGAGCTAACCTTAAAACCAGTGAGAGGAGCAGTATAGTCGAACCAACCATACGATACCCTACACAACTACCACGGAACTTTAACTTTCTGCGGATGTTTATTACAAGCATGGGCAATATTTAGTGATGTTTGCAACCTCTTGACAACAGCACTTCTGACATTTTTTCTGAATATTAAATATTTTCCGAATATATAGTGTTTTTCCGCCCTATAGTGTGCTAATGGGATACTAATTAATATCTGAATACGTAAGCACCTGTAAATATTAGATTGGGGAAAGATAATTCCATTATTTTTATATGTACTATAGGACTTTGTTTAACATGCTTCGAAATGTCCGATTTGGCCAAATATCCACCGTTTTGTTGTATGATTTGTTGCCATGTTAAAGGTAACTTCATAACGCCTCTCTCAAAGATGTCCTGCTCTCTATTTACAAAAAACTCTAGTAGTCGATTTTCACAATCCTCCCTAGATACCAATTTTTTGTCATTAAAGAAATTTTGCAATGCAAGAAGTATGTATGGCGGATGCATTAAAACTTCCCAACCAAGCTCTCGAAGTTTCTGGTGAGCCACTGTAGATGTAGACCTGGTGGAAAACGACAACTCTCTTGTTGGCCAATTCTGGCCGTTTCTGGCCAATTGGTATCTGCAAACGGCCCAGTTGTTGACAGTAGGTATCAGAATTTAGCGTTTGGCCATATGGAAGCAACTCATAAAAAGTAATCCCCTTCCAATCCCCTCAAATGCATAGCAGAACGTATGTGTTCCATTTCTCATCTTCAGTCACCATCCTTTTAAGAAATGGGTCTATCTCATTCCGTTTGGCCAAAGCTTCGCAGGTGGAAATTCGGTCCATCCTTTTTTTCTGTTAATTGGTGTGGCACCCATACATCGAGCTTTTTTTTGACATTTTACACGACCGGTCTAATGGATTACTTTATCCTCAACCTAATATTTAAGTGTAACTCCCACATCCGAGTACATACGGCAATATAATTGGTTTCAGAATATAAAATTTTGTAATTTTTCTCACAAAAATCCGGGGTTCATTTAACCTGCTAAATATAGATCTGTCAATGTGGAAACAGGCATGCTTATTCTTCGGCCCGATCCTCTTCTCCCTGTAAAATTTCGTTTAAATCATAATTGCGTATGGAGCTATCAGAAAAACTGTCAAAAATTAGATATTTGGTTCATTTCATCTCCAAAATATTAAACGATTTTTACCAAAAACAATAGGAGTATTCATTGGCCAGAACCCATCCTTCACGCATAATATCCTTTGATCAAATTTCGCACCTTTTCCAAATAACTTGGAAACTACCCCATATAAATTCTCTGTAAAAGAATGTTGACAATTATTTGTACTACATCGAATTTCAGATTATAATCTGCAAACAGAATGACAAATTTAATATACACTCCATCTTATGGTGGATGGCATAAAAATCAATTGCTGACCTTAACATGGAAAGTGGTTTAAGTCCATTATTCTTATATTGTATTAGGTTTGTTTGTGGCTTCGTGTCCTCAAACATGTTGGAATATGTAACATAATATGTTTTGTAAACTTTTCTAGAAAACCAAAATTTGTATCAGAACCTAAAATGGACATAAACCAAATAAACAAATCAAATCAAAATAAACCACTCAGTTAATTACAATCCAACTGTTTTTCGGATACATTCATGAAATTATTTTCATATTCAATACAGTTTGTGTCCTGTGTAATCAATAAGTCCTTTTGCAGAATGCATGTTTCATATTCCATTGCATCAACCACCGAACAATCATTATTATTCGAACGGCAGCCAAACAGAAGGATCTTAAATGGCTTAGTATTGCTGCCAACACTACCACCGCCACCACTGGCAAACGATCGGTAGTAAGCACGCGCAGTGTGAGATTATTTTTTTGCTGATGACATGGTTGGGTCAAAAAATGTTGCTCGTCGCACAGCAAGTCTTGGTCTCATCAAACCCCCAATAATAAGTGGTACTCATCCATTGAACACCAATAAAAAAGGGGTTTCGTTTTTTTTTTTCTCATATTATGGATCCCAACCGTTGTGGACTTTTCTTTGGGTCGGGGTGCTCATTTTTTTCTTTGTTGGTTCCCTGCAAATAAATGGCTAAATACCAAATCAAACAAGAGGCCAAATAATTTTGTTGTCTCGCCTGAGGCAAAAGGTGCCAACAATTGCCAAAGAACGCATGTTGCGGCATGCTGCTGTTGTAGAGGACACTCAGGCGAACCAGATGAAAATGAAAGGCCAGCGTTTGGAGTGCGGCAAACTGATAAACTGTGGTCAGCAGATCACTTATTATTAATTTTAGTGGTTAAAAGACACCAACAACAAGGCATCTGCAAATTTACGCTGAAAAAAAAAATGTAAAAAAGAAATATTCATGTGACCGACCTCAGCACTAGTCTTGAAATGAACAACTGGCCAAAATGGGCCTGAGGCATTGAATTGATATGTATGTATTTAATAGCAAGGAGTGAGTGCTTTGCAACTCAGTGGCCCACTCTAAAAAATACGAGATCCAACTTAAAAGTTTTGTGTTTTTTTAATCGGATTGTGGTGATTTGTATGACAATAATGAAATAGTTCGGGGAAGAATTTATAAAATATTCCAAAAAAGCATAATGATATATTTTGCAAAAATATTAAAAAATAAGTAGAAAAGTGGCTAAGTTCGAGCCTGCCCAACTTTTTATATCCTCCTCCATGTGGTGTATATCAAAACTTTTTAAAAAATCGGGGCCTTTAGGCGAGGAATTTTAACACATCAGAAATTGAACGGACCTCTGTACGTAATTGCAAACATTGGCCTATATTGAACATTTTTTGGAAGCACAAATACCTGGAATATTAAATTATTATCTTTTCGTTTGGAAAATTCATGTAAAACCTCAAAATATGGAATATTGTGATGAACTTTTATATGAAAGTCATGTCAAAACATGAGCCTATAATGATAATTTTCTTGGCAAAAAATACAGCCATTTCGGTTGGAAAATGAACCTTAGAACCTAAAAAAAAGATTTAGATGGAAGCTATGTGAAAACATAGACCTGTATTGTTACTTTTTGAATATATGTATGTTAACTTCCAAAACCTTGATTTGTTAAATTACACCCCTTCAGTTCGATAAGGCGCCTAAAACATTCAAAATACCGTTATATGGGAGCTATACTATCGTGATTTCAGACAGACATGACTGAATCCTTTAAGGGAGGGTATAACGAGTGAGAAGAGCGGTATAGTCGGACGGGCCGACTATATGATACCCTCTACTCTGGTGTGGTACAAATTTCAGAATATCCACATATATATCTTTTCACAGAAATATATTGGTCCATTTGACCCGCAAAATATTGACCGATTATAAGCCATGCTATTCGTGACGTTCGAGCCATAATTGTGACCTCTAGAGCGATAAAAAAACGGACAAGAATAATTAATTAATTGTTATCTCATAAATATTATTTAAATATAACTCTCTGATCCGAGTATATACATCAATATAAAAATTGGTTTCAATTTAAAGGCCAACCATACCTCTTGGATTTACTTTGATTTTCTGAAGTCAATTAATAGCCACAAATTTCATATTTGCACTTTTTCACAAAAACGTCTGGGCTCATTTGATAATATTGACATATAATAATAAAAAATAAATAGGACCAAGATAATTTCATTGTCAGATCCCTCATAGTAAATTATTGTGACCTGAGACCAGAAAAAATAATGTTTTTAGTTCATATCATCCCCTAAATATCATCCGATCATTACAAAAAACATAACTGAGGCATGTATTGTTTACATATTATGTGTAGATCGAGTCAACTAGTCGAGAGATGACGATCGGTATACTAAAATATTGATCTAGGGCCCATATTTATAATAATCTCACAAAATGGTTGCATAGGGTAAAAAATAATTGTTTTATTATTTTTGTTGAATAACACATTTACCCAATAATTTTATTTCCTTCGTTTTGCCTTCGTTTAATACACATTTCAGTTACCTCACTACGATTTGTTTTACCCGTAACGGTTAAGGGAAAACTATCGAAGAAATAAACACCTCCTCGTAATATTTCATAATCATCCATTCGATCGGCAACATGTTGTGCTATTTGAGCTTCCGAAATGGTAACGCCTTGACGTTTGATCACACCTGCAGCTGGTAAAAAATCACATGTTTCATCCGGTATACCAACAACACAGGCCAAGGCCACTTCAGGTATTTCACAAATGACTTTCTCAATATTCGTTGGAGACAAAGTAAAATTATTATATTTTAACATATCTTTGCGACGATCGACAACATAAAGCTGCCCGGCATCATTGAAATAACCTAGGTCCCCTGTGTGAACCCAGCCATCTTCATCGTACACAGCCTTGGTGGCTTCGGGATTTTTAAAATAACCACTGCCAGGGTACTTTTTACGTACCAAAATTTCTCCCACCTCATTTGGTCCCAATTGCATGCCTTTGTCACTTAAAATCTTGGCCTCTGTATTCACTAACATGCGACCAACCGCATCACTGGGATCCACTGGTGAAGATGTGAGGGCACCACATATTTCCGTCAAACCATAATAAGTTCTGAATGTACAATTTTTGGCATAGGGCATTAATTTTTCAATTAACGAATATGGTATGGTCTTGCCAGCCACAAACATTAGCCGCAAACTGGATAGGTCACTGGACGCTAATTTACCCGATGTCAATAGGAGGGGAATATCGGCTGGAAAATTAGCCGATACGTTTATCTTGTGCATCTTTACTATATCAATGAACTCTTCCGGTGTAAAGGGATTTTCCGAAATGATTCGAGTAAAACAATCTGTGGCACTTTGGATCATCATGAAAGTGGGCACGGAGCCATACAGGCTGCCATAGCAAAGAAGTCGGGGTGCAAAGTCTACGCCTCTGAAAGATAAATCAATTTGTAAATATTTGTTGATGTGTGTGTGTGTGTGTGAGTGTGTCAGGTTGTCGTACGGAACTTACAGAGTTGTTGCATTTAATAAAGCTGCATGTGACATTTGAATGCCCTTCGGTGGGCCTGTGGAACCTGAGGTACGTAAAATCATTGCCACCTGTTCAAAACCTTCTCTCAACGGAGGTACTCTAAGAACGGAAAATCGTGTTTAGTCGACTTATAATAATGGAAGAGAAATATTGAAAATATAAAATCGATGGCGTATAAAATTGGTCTGATATACACCTAAGTCTGTTTTTACACGGTAGATTGGTTTCAGAAGAAGCCGTGTAAAAAAAACCGTGTAAAAAAGGGAATTTCCCTAAATTAGTGCTATTCACATTTGCTTTGACCAGTAAAAATTGTTAGTACGCGCTAAAGGGGAATTCACTTAAATCTTTAAGCTAGTGTTCGCAAACTATCGATATTATCGATGGTTTCAGAATTTTTTCTTTCATAAATACTTTTTTGACAAAAAAAATGAAAGTACATAAAATTTCAAATCGTGCTAAATGTAAAAGAATGAAAATATTCAATTTTCAAACCGTGTTATATCAAAACCGTGTAAAAAAGATCGTGTAAAAACAGACTTAGGCGTATCTTATTTTCTATACTAATTATGTTTATACTTATATCCTATCATCAAGTTGAAGGTACAAACAAGACATTTCCATGTCAGGTTAGTTGATAGCAGTAGTCCAAAAACAGTCACCATTGGGAGAAATCCCAATGTGAAAAGGTAATTTTGGACTCTGAAGCGTGACACCATCTATTTCCTTTCCGGGACGTTTTTTACTTGTTTTCTTAGAGTCAATGCATTTCATCCGAAATATAAAATCAACCAGTGAGCGGACGTGACCTACCATATGATACCCTACACAACTTCCACGAAAATCTAACTTTGTATGGCCCCATATTCTGAGCTTCTATATTTCCACTCTCTTGACCGACTAGAGGTAAACAAATATTACTAATATTCAGTACAGCCCTTCTAATTATTGTCCAGATTTCCGTCTCCGTGGGTTGTGTTGTGATGTTCGGCTTTCAATTGTGGCCTATAGATCGACTACAAAACACAAATAATAAAGTTTTCTTTCCACTTCATCCCAATATTATTATCTGATCACCACAGAAAATTATAGGCATTGTCCTTGACCATACCTGGATCCTCATGTAAAATTGCATATAATCAGCGCTATTTATATTTTGGATATATTATCAACTTCTCTGATCTATATAGAATACAAATTTTGTCATTTTTTACACAAAAATCAGGGTCCACTTGACCCGCTAAATATTGACTGATCTTTATCAAAACCATCAAGCTTCTTTTTTGGCCCGATCTCCTTCTCTATGTAAAATTTCGGGATGTTTGGGCCATAATTGCGGCCTCTGGAGCGACCAGAAAACCCGACCAAAATTAAGTATTTGGTCCATTTCACCTCCTATATATTGACCAGAACCCATCCTACATGCAAAATTCCGTGAAGATTGGTGCATTACTGTGGCCTGTATCTTGTTTACAAATTATAATGGACAGACATGTGTGCATGTCTAGATCGACTCAGCTAGTCGAGATATGACGATCGGTATATTTAAATGTGGGTCTAAGACCAATATTTCGCGGCGTTACAAACACTTGGGGCTGCACAAAGCTATAATACCCTGACAACATAGTTGTGTAGGATATAATTACTTACACATATGTCGACGCATCACAGATCTCTTCAAAGAACTCCATAACATTGGGAATGCCATCCATATGATTTCGAACTGTAAAAATCTTTGTTGCCGAAAGTCCACACTCTTCTAAAGCCTGACGAACTTTTTGATAAATCTCACCATCACAAAACATTAATTTCGGCTGCGTCAGATTGTATACATATTTCAGACCATTCACATTAAAACTTGGATCCAAAGGACTGATGCAGAGGCCCGCACATAAGGCACCAAAATAAATCGGCGCCACATAATCGCTGTTGCCAGCACAAATCCCGATAATATCACATTGCTGCAGTTGTAATTTTTCAAAATGTCGAGCTGCTTGTACAGTTAATTTTATCATTTCCCGATTGGTAATTTCTTTTCCGCTTTGGTGACAGATCTATTGTTCGCATGAAATAAAAAATACTGATCAATATTTGAAAAATACAAGCTATTGAGTAGAGCGCATACCTGTATTACGTGATCAGGATATTTTTTCATTGCCTCCAAAACAGCTGATCCTATGGAATATTGTGGACCGTATCTGAGTTCGTCCACCGGTCCATGCCACACTTTCTTTTCGGGGTCGTAAATAGTTTCCACAAGAACTGGTGCTGTGCCATTGGGTGCCATTGTTGCGTGCCCTATTTCTTTTAAGCAAAAACTGAATATCAAGTGATTTTGTACGCACTTTTATATATGCATAAGTGCGATATTGTGATTATTTCGCATTTGATTTGTTTTATTGTATACTATCGAAGATAAGATTATTTTGCGCATTTAATTTGCAATAACGTACATTTTAGAAAAGGCCAATAAATTAATTGGAATTTTGATATTGTTTAGTCTGATATTTAATTAAAAATCACGCACAATCGGTAAAATCGGTAAAGACTTGTTTACATATTAGCCAATTATTTTGTTATCGGCTGTGTCGAATAGACATTAGAGATTGTGTGAAAATCTTTAATGTATGATATTTTGTTGGATAACTTGAACTGGGATTATTAACATCGCACAAAAATTAACAAATGGTGGACATACGAAATTTAAAATTTGAAAAATTCCTTATTTCGACCACTAACCGAGTTAGAAAATAAGGAAGATCTTGACCGATTGCAGTTATCCTAGTTCATACGATAGCTTTATACGTACAGAAATTGGAACGGATTTGATAATTACTTTTTGAGTTATTGGCTCTAATTTGATATTTGGCTCTAAATTGATATTTTTGGTTTTCAAATGGATGACAAATGATCCCATCAAATATTAGCAACATCGGTCCACATTTCAGTATAACGTCCAATTTTCCAAAATGGGTGTATGTAGTTGATATTTCATTTTTTTTTGTGGCAGCAATTTATCATCATATCCCCCAAATAAAAGTTTCGATCGATTGTTGGGCCACCACATGGCTGAAGATTTTAAAATTTCGACCCTGCCGAACATAATGAGTTTTCATTTGTTGACCAAGTTAAAAACCCAACCGATCGATTTTGTTTGACCCGCCCGAACTTAATGAAGTTTTTATCTTCCTTCACCACACTGTGGTACGGGCTATTAGACCTTTGTGTATATATTTGTAAAATGCAAAAGGAAACAAGATAGGCCCATAGTTTCTTTTGAAGATATGCATAAAATCAATTTCTGAGTCGATTTTGGCATCTTCGTCCGTCCGTATATCCATGTATTATTGCAAACAAAGTATAGGTCGCATTTATCATCTGAATTTTTTAGAATTCGATATATCTCATTTATTTGGCCCAAGTGCTAATCCTATTTAAATTATTTTAAAATTGGTTCAGATTTTGATATAGCTCCCATAAATATTTTCTGTTCTGTTTAAGAATATATCTAGGATACATAATTTTGTTTGATTACCTACAAATGATACACATATCTATGTCTTTATGTACATGAAACGTGCACTGATTGCTAAATGACACGCCACTTGTGTATGGGTTGATTAAAATCGGTTTATATATCAGTATAGATCACATATTTAATTTCGTCCGATTTAATGGCCTTAACAATTGAATGACCCTTATATAAACAAAATCATTTGAAATGCCAAGTTATATGCTTGTTTTAAATCGGTATATGACTTACAATAAAACTGAAATTTTTTGTGGGTATCCAAAGTGGAGAAGGGTATCATTTAGTCGGCCCCGTAAGACATTTATATTGTCCTTACTGGCTTTGATTGACCTACTAAATTTCTCCATTCAATCATTGACCATTTCAACCTAATACAATTATTTTATATATATATATTACCGGTTTATCTCGATTTAACAAATTTTGTAGATTACTTTGTATGAAAATATCTCGTTTCTTTTTCTAAATATCCAAAGTGCGTATAACTATTTATATCTTATCAAATTTATCTAACATAATTTTGACAGAAAAAAAATGATAATACCTTTCTATTTTTTACTATTTTAAACTTCCGTTATCGGCACTGATTCCACTTACTAGAATTGATAATGAGATATATGTAATTCGTCTATATATAATTTTATTATTGTACGTCAATAAATTATTAGGCCTATAAAACCGTATAAAAACCAGTGATGCCAATTTGGAATTGAAATTTTAAAATTTTAACTTTGTTATTGTTAAACGAACCTCCTACTTTCGTTTGTGAGTGATCAAATTTAAATAAATGCCGTCGATGACTGGGCTCACAGATGCGCCACTAACACAGTGAGTTTGTTTTTTACTCATGCTGACGGTGTGGAGCTGATGTTAACCCTGCTGAACAGTCGATTTCAGGCAATGTTTTGGGCCAATTTTAATTAGTTTTGCTTCAAGCTAAAGTATCAGGGCTTTTTGTGGTGAATCTTTGGACATTCTTGTCACAATGATTTGCTGTGGCTGGCTGACTGGCTGGCTGGCTCAACGGCATTGCCAGTATTAGTCTTGTTCGGCTTATTGTCTTAACCAATTTGCTTACCAAGATTTTAGGGATTTTTTTGTCGAAGTTTTCCTTTTGGTTTTTGCTTCAAATTTCAGCGTCAGCCGAATCAACGTGTACATGATTATTTTCCATTTCAGTTATTGTAACGCCCACTTTTGGTTGCACATATATTCTTTTTTTGGGTGACGTATGTATAAATTGCGGCTCCATTTGTTGAAATTTTTTCATTCTGAATTTGGGGAAAATCCATACCGGGAAGAAGGAGAGGGAAGGCAAGGAAGAACGCAAATCGATTAAAATTCTTGAGTGTGCTCAAATTCCATGGCGAACAAGCGAAGCATTTAATGATTGCTCACTGCATATATCCTTTTATTATCGATACAAACTGGCATTTAAAAGGTAGATTCAAAATCCTTGGACAATTACACAAAATTAGAGTAATTCGTTGATAGAAACAGATGAAGGAATGGTAAATAAAGGGAGACTAAAAATGTTTCGGAGGTACAGTGGTTTGGAAAAACAAAATATCGATGAGGAAATTAAAAAAAAAGAATAATAACAAATAAAAACGTGGCTATGAGCGACCGGACCAAACTGCACCATGTGGTGTACATTCAAAATTTCTCTAAAAAGTCGGAACCTTTATATAGAGACCAGGTTATTTAAAATTGTCAGCTATTGGTTGTTTATGCCCTACGTTTGGAAAACTAGCAAAATGTAAGTAGGACCTCTACGTATTTACATAGTGAACATTTCTGGGGAAATGTTCAAGATACCAAATGCCGATCATTATATGACCCTATAGTGATCACTATACCCCAGCCTTATGAGTAATGAGGTATATATACTCTGATAGGTCAGAAATGTGCCTCATCAAAATATTGGTTTTATACCCTATGTTTCTTTGGACAAAATCCCTTTCAGACAATTTGGAGTGGATTTACAAATGTCCATCTCTCCGTCCATCGGTCTGGCCGGCTGTTGTGCACGATAACTCTCGAAGGGAGTAACCGATTCCATTCAAACTTTGCACATCGTAATAAGTCTTTCAAACTTTGACCCATTTGAACTACATTTTGCACAACCTATTATCTTTAACAAGCCAAGATCAAGCCCGATAATGGGACTAATTGGTCCGCTCCTTCTGGTACCTCCCACACAAAGGGTCAAATTTTTCAATGTATATAAATTCAATATTAGGCGAAAGGAATGTCTTTCTATAACAGCCTTCTCCAAATACTGAAAATTGGGTGGAGTTTTTTTTATGGGAGCTATGTCAAAACATTACCCTTTTCAGCTCAGAAGTATCCCAAAATCCAAGAACCCCCAAATGCTAAATCAGATCCATATTTATTGGAAAATGTCACCAAATACCGAACATCGGTAGGAACTCATATGACGTCAAAACATGGACCTGTAATGACAATTTTCTGCATAGATGTATGACTGCCTCCAAAAACATGCTATGCCAAATTACAGCTCGTTCGATTGGAAATTGCTTCTAAAAACATAAAAATGTCGAAAATTTGGAGTTAACGTTATATGAGAGCTATACCAAAACATGGAACCAATACTCGATTTGTAATACCAAACATCCTAAGTTTAATAAATACACCGTTATATAGGAGCTACCCTAAAAAGGAAACCAATCAATCCAATAATAGAAAATAATGTTGGAAAACTTGCCCATAACCCCCAAAATTCCGGAAAAATCCGGAACGTTATTTCACATTTGGAATACCAAACATTCTAATACTTCTAGCAAGGTCTGTGCAAAATTTCAAAGCTCTTTCTTAGCGTGATATATTGCGATCATTTTTTTACGCCGATATAATTTAATAGGAAGTTTTTATCCTTTGAGATAACGAAATTACGAACACAAGTTAGCAGTTTCAGTCATTATCTTCAATATACCGAAACAAGTGATATCTCTAAAATTGCGGTCCGCATTTAGTGCGATTCACTGTGTGACAATAAAGATACCAACCAAATACCAAAAATACCATTTGCAATATGCATCACACTCGGACTGTATTCTCCTTCAATATCATGGGAAATATGCATGGGCCAACATGAAAATATTATTTACAGACAAATATGAAAAACTGTATCATAGACAACTCCTGCCAAAACTCCAACTACAGCTGGGTCACAAGATAGAATTCAATTGACTCAACTCTACTCCACATACATACCGCTTTGTATCTTGCACATGAGAAACCAGCACTCTCATTGGCTGCCACGATTCGAAGCCCTGCGGGTGTAATTTTAATTTGTGCGTTATTTGTGTTGGTCAAGTTTCAAACAACATTCTGCTCTCCTGGGCCAATATGCAATCGCACATTTGGAACCATTTGGTTTTTCTATCTTGCCATGACTGCTATCCTTTTAACGTAAAATGTCGTTGTTTTGTAGTCAAATGTCGAGTATGTATAATTACATACATTTCGTACACAAATGTAGACTGACTGATATTCCGAGATATTTATGGGATAGCGATAAACCTGCAGTCGTCGTTACACATTCAATGTGACTTCAAAATAACATTTGTGGGAATATTATGCCGATATTTGGAGTCTATTTCCAATTTAAGAACTTCGCCATAGGCCATGTTGTGAAATAAAAATCGATTTGTCTTTACTCGGTGCATTTATGTGAGAAAAAGTTCGAAGAAGCTTGTGTTGCATTTGTGCAGTCGGGATTTTGTGTTGTT